CGCTCAATCTGGAGGACTCAATGCGAATCAGTGATGGAACGTGCTGCCCCCATAGGAAATTCCTGTAAGCTGTGCCATCTCATTCGGGTCACCGATAGGAAAAGCCTTGTGCGTAAGCGAAACAATCTGCGAAGATGATGGATTGCCCATTCATAATTACCAGCGACGTCTCTCATGCCGAGAGGAGTACTGTAACGCATATGACTGACTGCAGTCCGGGGGCATGATCCACTACCTTCGATTTCCCTCCACGAAGATCAAGAAGGACATCAATTTGACTTCGAATCAGTGAGAATTATCGACCAAGCCCGGTCAAAACACGCCAGAGAATTTCTCGAGGCCTGGCACTCTTTAACCAACTCAATAAACAGGCACATCGAGCTGGATCACGTGTACACGCCAATGCAACTGAAGGACCAAATGACGCAACAAAGGTCACACCGTAACCTGAGAACGGATGGAAACCGCAATCGGGACGAAAGGACAACTTCCTCCCCTCTCACCCCCACCCGCTCGCAACAGTTCAACGGCGGACCGAGTCGAACACAGTGAGAACAGGGGACGAAAATAGCCAGTGGGGAAGAACGCATATATAAACGAACGGGTACAGACAGAACACTGCCACTTCACAAGCACTGATGATGTCACCTCGGCTGGTGATGAAACGTTTGCAAACAAATGGCCAAGCCCGGCGAACAGGGGAAATGGAATGGAACTGCTTGTTGGGGAATGGAGTACCTGAAAAGTACAGCTTTTGTTATTATGTGACACGTGGGACGCCGCCGAAACATTCGACTTTACCTTAAGGGAAGAATATACATTGCCACGGTTCGCATTACAGTTGCGAGACCTGATCTCTTTGCGTTGAGGATGCTAATCGCCTTTATGCATCGCTCGTGTGTGGTAAGGATAATCCGTGAGCAACGAGGAATTTCGTCCACGTATGTTGGACGTTGATGGTTGTTCCCCAAATGAAGTCAGCGTCCCCCGTCATGTTATACGCATGCCTGATCATCGTCCACTTTTCCGTGTTCGCGTTGCAGGTGCTAATCGAAGCAATAAGACCAATCGCGAAGGTTACACTATGACCCAACATAGTGGTATGAAGACGTTGGCCTCATTATTGCCTTCTGTTGGTGCAGCTCACCTTCCAAAATGGGAACCAAATGATGAGGATCGCCGATGGTTAGAGACTCAGAAATTTAGCGCAGAATATAAGTCAGTGGTGCAACTGTTGTAAGGTTTGTTCGTTAAAACAATGTTCTTCAAAATGGACAAAAAACTTCATGTTTACGGTGAAATTGACGAAAAATTTGTTCCTCCTGTCCTCTGCTATCCGTTTTTCCACTTTTATCTGACTTGTAAACCCATCAACCATATATCAACATTGTTGTTTTGTTGGCATCATACTTGTACTGAAGCGGGTGCATGATATATATATATATATATATATATCGCGAGAGAGACAGGCATTGGGTGAGTGAATGCATTATCTGCTATTTACCACTGGATTTGAGACATCATCACTGGATGAGATCATGGCAGTTACATAGCTGGACAGAGTTGCCTCGTCCAAGGTCATACGACTTGGTGACCCGGTATCCAGTCGACGTTCACTGACTCGTGAAGTATCTGTTAGGTTCGGACGGGGCCAAATCCAGCAAGCTCGATCTGTAATCCATGAATGATCCACGAGTGCCGCGTGAGTAAGTCCGTGCGCAATCAGATCTACAGAAACGTGGGAAAAGACAAACCTGTATGAGCACTTTAATTAGATTATTATTAATGTAACTCACATACATCTGAGTTCAGTCCTTATCAAGCAAGTAATGAAAAAGGATGTCTGCAACAAAGGAAAAGGTCCATAATTCACTAGTGGGTGGAATACTGCCAAGGTGTCTAAGCCAACGTACATGGATTTTCTTGGGGGATCGCCCATCGGAAAGTAAGCCAGAAATGCAAGCCCTGTTTCGAAAAACCAGATCATTTTGCTGTTGGTCGAAAGAAAGTCATACGTAACCTCTGGTGAATGTTTTAGTTCACCACAGATTTTATCGCTGAAGTGTAGTTAAAACAGGTTTATTACGAATTAATGTCACAGAGAAATATCACATTTAATCAGTACTGGTGCAACAACAGTAAAAACATGAGGTTTAGAACTGACTCGTACATAACACAGCTGGGGCACCTGATTTCGTTCAGTGTCATTAGCGATTGATTTGACCTATCTTTATATTCATTGCACATAGAAATTAACAGAAATATAGTCGCATAACGCTGTTCGAAGAGTCCCACTCCAAATTTCATCTGTCTTCAACATGTACATCTGATCATCTGGGTTGCTTTAACGCGGGATATGGAGCAAATGTAACCCAACTGTTCAACGTGTTCAAAACTAGAGCAGCCAGTGAATGTGAAAGCCCCATCTAACAACTGCTGAAAAATATTGCACCAATACACCAACATGCAAGATCAACGTGGAAAATTTGACGAATAGCGGTCTAACAATAGTTAAGTGATGCCAAACAATTAGATGGGACCGTGGGATAGTCCAGATGTGCTACGCGCGTTCGCCCATGATCAAGGGCAATAAAAAGTGAGTATTCAGCCTGGTACATTCCGCTTTTTGGACACGGTTATCGATTTGCATTGCAATCTAACACCGTACCATAACAGAAATCTTGGTTTGTATGAAGCTAGCTTGAATGAAATTTGTTAATACAGCCTTAATCATAGCGTACAAACCTGTCGGAATTCTCCAGTTCCGTAGTTTGTGCTTATTTTTACGGACAGAGTCCGGAAAACGATGAACCGTGTTTGATTAAATCTCCTGTTTCTATCCCATTACATTAGGTGTTGTGTGATGATCCCGGTTAAAATGTTGCACGAGTTAAACTATGATGAAATATGATGTAGTTGTTCCATGAGAACGGGAGGAAGTATGGTGTGTACCACGCAAGGGTAGAGTGCACTGAAGTCGTCCACCGCGTCGGTATCATCACCACGTGACAGCAAGTGATGCTGTACGAAGTAAATACAAATGTCTACAACGGATAAAGAAAACACTGTCATGATCGACGGGCTGAAAATTTGGAGGCTCAGTCCAACTGGAACCCATTAACATCCAAATGAACAGACCCCTAACTCGATTGAGTAAGTACTCCCAGTTGGTGCCAGTTCCCCAGAAAAAAAGTTATTTCTAAAGCAATAAGGCCTCCGGCCCAGAATGGCTATTCTCGTAGGCTTTTAGGGATGGAGGTCTAGCGTTAGTCTTGGGGTTTACGGAACTCCTTGGCTCAATCTGGGAGACGAAACAGGTTCCAACGGTGAGATCCTCTTAGGGAAAACAGCAGAAGAATTAGTTTATCAACAATGCCTCCAAACTTCTCGCTGGCATCATACTCCGACGATTGTCCACCACACATTAGGAGTACACTTGTGAGAACCAGGCTAGGTCTAGATGTGGTCGAGGTTGTATCGACCACATCTTCACTCTCCGTCGAATTCCGGAGCACTGACAACCTTTTCGTAGACCAACCATCTCTGTCTTCCTTGATCTCAAAGCGGCTGTCGATTCAGTCGACCACTCAAACCTCTGGCACGGCTTTTCCGAAGAGTGTGCCCGAGAAGTTTATTTAAATATTACAATCACTGGCCACTTCACAAGCACTGATGATGTCACCTCGGCTGGTGATGAAAAGTTTTCAAAACAAATTGCCAAGCTCGGCGAACAGGCGAAATGGAATTCAGTTCACCCGATCTACGACAACCGATTTTCAATATTTTGTCAATAATCACTTTATACTAATATCCGAAGCCGAGTCTGAAACTGCGGCATATCCTCGCTCGAGTTCATCGTGGAAAATGATGTTCGACAGGGTTGCCATCCCTTTCCTGTTTCATTCAACTTTGTTATATATTTGATTATGGAAACAACCCTATCCTCGAACTAGGGTAGCGGTATCGATTTGCTACCAGACGGCAGACTGCCTGATCTGAAGTACGCAGACGAAATTGCACTACCAAGTGAAGATTCGGGTAAGTTGCAGGCATTTCTGACTAGTGTGAATGCCGACGTAGCTATGTCCGGTATGCGTTTCGTTGTTTTTGTTACTAAAAGAGTGGGTTGGTCCAGTACCCAGCCTCACTACCTGAGGAAGTATTAGTGCAAGTGGACAATTTTCGTTATGTGGGCAGCTATATGTCATCCGGTGAGCGCATTACGCAGAGTGTCAGCTATTATACAGAAGGCTCGATTAGCATTTACCAATTTGAGACATCTGTGGCACCGCCACGGCATCTGACTGTGGTTACAGACATTGAGTGATATGGCTGAATGTCATAAACAGTGGCGCCAGTGCATCTTTTCAGTTTCTTTGCAACCTTAGTTAACTGATGTTCTCCATTTTCTCTTCCACGCTACTTTCTACTTTCGTGACTTTCCCTTACTCCTTTATCCAAATGAACAATCGAAAGAGAGCAACCAATACCGGCGCATGAAAGTGTATGGTTAATCGTTGAAGACTTTGAAAACGGAACTGGTGGATGAGTAGTGAACCTCCGCCTAAAATCATCTACGATTAAATGGGTAGTTTAATGTTTTGAAAAGAGTTAGTTACTTTGTTTCCTGCTCAATTTTTAAATGCTTCTATCTACTTCATCCTCATCGTTCAATCTAATGGCTAGTCGAAAGGCAGCAACCTCACATTTTAGGGATACGATGTTCACGGGTTTTTGAAGAGTGCATTCAGGCTAGAACCAGCCTGTTGATTCTGCGTTTAGAACTAAGCATGATTCGGAGAGAGGAGAAAAGGATTGAGATGTCCACAGTTTTGCAGTTCTCGTGAAAAAGATAATAAGCGGTGAGAAATGAGACATCTAAGGGAGGTCACACAATTGCGACAGCCGCAAGCTCTGCTTGGAAACAATGGTTGAATTGTGAAGAGATCAACAACCTGACGGGATTAAAAACCAAGCTATTATACCGCAGACACAACCAACTGAGCCTCAAGACCGCACTGACAGCACTGATCTTTACATATTTGGTTCACTCATCCATATGGAATGACGTACAAGCTGTCTGCTCTGGCAGGATTCCTTCTGACTCCATCGACCTTTTCACGATGCAAAAAGTTAAACTATTATTTTAGATTGCTGTGTTTGGATCAAACACTGAGATTTCGAGGGACACTATTTATGGTCGTACAGTGTTCGCGTTTTGTGGGTCGCGTCCCGGAACAGAAAAAAATTACTCCGTACTTAAGAATCCCAACAAGGACGAAACAACTGCCCGCTACTCTTTGTCGACCATCACACAGTTACACCATTATCTATGATAACAACAATTTGATCAAATATCTTACTGGACAGAAAAAGAGCTTTGGAAAGCTATTGTCTACTTTGCGATTTGTGGTATTGCGTAACACTCAGCTACCACCGAGACTCGAATCAAAGATATCTGATTCAGAAGCCAACATCTTTGACTTCAATTTGAGGAGTTGACGAGCATAACTTTAAAGTTCAAACCCGTATGTAGAAGGGGCAAAACCCATTCCCTTGTGGTATACGGGCATCACTGGACGCTACTTACACAGGAAACTCTTTCCACCAAGAACATCACTCAGCTCTTAAGTGATAAGCTGATAGTCAGTGACTTATAATCCACCAAAGCAAGAAACACTTCGTTCACGATACGCCTCCTGATATTCATCTGAGTTTCAAGCAATCCGTTAAATATGGATCGGCACTGTCATAAACAGCGATCATGATAAACGAAAATCTTTTTCTTTTCTGATACAAAAATCTATGGTAAACTCTAATGAAAAGACAAGGTTAGTCGGTATTTCTACCGGGGCTTTAATTACTCGTACCACTGATTAGTATAAAATCATAGGAAACTCCAATCGGAAATACATTACATGAATCTAAAAAGAATGGAATCTGAGCTGAATAAGAAACAAAATGGTTCATAATTTTCAAAGGGGTAACCGTGTGCAGGAAATGTGCGGGTCGTGTTGAAATTTAGGTAGAGCATGCAAAAGCTAAAAGCAGAACAAAACATCATTTTGGTTGATTGATTATTGCTAAGGCGCTCAATAAATAAGCACATACAATAAGCGAGAGAGGAACAAGCGGAAGGTAAAAACATAGAGACCGTAGATAGGTGATAGTTTCTCAGCCCACACACATTACCAAGCTACATAAAGTCGATGAAAACGTGACCTCAGAATCTGAAAGTATACTTTGTGCTGGGATGATTGAGACCATTCTATTATTGATTGAACACAATATTAAAACGATTTCTTTTATCGTATTTCACTGGAATAGAATGAATAAACTGAATTCCTTCCGAGTCAGTGATTCACCAGATCCAGCTTGATGGTTTCTTCTGCGACAGAAACTTTAGATCTTCCTTTTCAGTTTTTGACATTCAGAAGTGGAAAAAAGGATCTGATAAAAAAACAGATTTTCTGTTCAGCATGTAAGAGCTTGAAACTTGTGCATAAGTGGATAAGCGGGGTAAATGGGGTATCCGTTAAGACTAGCACCTCTGATTTGGAGAGCTGCCGACCCCTTTGAGGCATTCTCCGTTCCTTGGTCTCCACCAGGCATTCAGCTCTCACCTGTGGCTCCAAGAAACTATCCAGATGCAACAGCGGCAACACTCCGGCGAACCGCTTGACAGGCGGGCCAAACCAGGTTGAAGGTAACCGGGAGATCAAGTCCTGGTGAGCCGATGTCAAACGAATGAATGCGGCGCTAGTGCGTTGGTCGGGAGAAGTCGCTTATACGACTCAACGGTCAAAGTGATGACTCCGCAGTCACCAGCAGTGCATGGACCTGTATTCAGCTAGAAACTGTCAATGATATATACCCTTCCCCCAGAGGGTCACCGGGAACCACGCGCTACCTTCTTGCTGCTTGGCAGTTAGCACTTGTATGTGCAAAGGCTAGAGATGCTACTTCGAACTAAAGCCGGGTGACGTTGGGGACCGTTCCTGTACCTAACTCTCAAGAACAATCCATGAAGCCGACTGACCCTCTCCAGGAGCCAGCTGCCGTAAAGTAAAGTAAGCATTATAAGTGGGTATTTTGCGGGAGCCCATCCAGCTAATGCCATTTGTCTGTCGGAATCCGAAATGAAGCCTGCAACTGAATTAACTGACTCTCTCCTCTCAAATAATCGTTTGACATTGATGCGACGCCCAGAGACGTTTAGATTTACTCGACATTCGTGACATAATTCTATTAAGGATGGGATATCCTCCCAATGTGTTTGTGAGCGATGGCTACCTAGAGTCCAACTCATGTCCTGAAGGAGGCGAAAGGAAGGAATATGGAGAACTATTATAGTGATTGAGGAATCAAGCGAACAAGGAAACCCTATCGTGCCGCTCACATACTTCGAAAAAGAAACTGTATTCCTTCTTTCATGTAGACTTTCGATATATTCGCTGAAGAGGCGAAAATAAATGGTAGGAGGAACCAATGACCATCAACTAACCTATCCAATCAATCCAGCGAGTGGACCGATTCAGTAGAAGGTTAAAATAACAGAATATGACTGACAAAAAGGTGATGGGAAATAGATGCGGGGTAGTCATGGCGATATTTGAGTTCACAAAACAATGATAAATGTGACCGGAGGAACATAAGCTTACCGGGGAAAAGACTGAGAAGAGTGAGAATCCAATTACACATCCACCCTGCTGATTCACCATCGAACAGAACTCGACGCTCTAAGAGAACCAGTTTGAAACAGACCAGTGCATCTCGACCGTAAACACGGAGAAAATTGGCCGCGTTCAGGTTAAACAAAAGTGCATCTGTTGAAGCAAAAACACGGATGAACAAACAAATATGCGCCGGTAAATCGAACATGATAACAGAAGCAAGCTTTTCCAGTGACAAGTTTGAAAGGAAAAGTTAGTAGGTTAACATTGTACAATGCATGTGTCGGACAATTTCGCTGCATCTGAACTGGTGCCTACCGTAGACTAATAAAATGTTCATATACGCTTTGGGGCAATCAACAAATGCGAATAGAAAAACGGTCAGAAAAGCAAATCAAGGGTAATGAATAAGTCTTTCTGTCAACACTGAATTGGTTTCCATCATCTGATCGCAGTTGCTTCGGTGACCCTGAGTATACTGGTATTACCATTAGTATAGATCATTCGGAATGATATTTCCCTATTGTGTCATCAAAGAATGCTTCAAAACGTAGGAGTTGGATATTGTGCATGCCAGCAACCGAACCTCGACATGGCAATCACGCGTTAAACCAAGTTCGGAGTGTGCTCTAAGACTGGATTACGTAAATGTCTTTCCGTGCCGTCTATGTAAATATCACCGCACGCAGATTTGAAGTGACAGTTGAAGTCTGAGTAGGCGTACAGAGATGGGCATTTTTAACCAAAGGGACGGATATACTATTTGTCCGGAGCGCAATACTAGGTTTGGCTGCACAGTCCGGTCGATAATCGATGGTAAAACGTTGATGGGATAGATTAGTTAAGTCATCATCTGTGAAAGGAAAACAAATCGTGATCTATTATTTAGAGGCTGACAGAACCAAGACTCTTTAGGCTTTGACCCAGAGCGAAAATGTGTCCCCACTAACAACAAACCCTTATATGATGTGTACAGGCACGATTATGGATCATTCGAAAACAATTGATCGCCTTCAGACTTGTGTTCTGAATCCTCAGATTCCTGTGCCTGTCATTGAAGTCCTAGAGATAACATTTCTAAATCCTTGAGTCCTTTGTGCATTTCATCAAGACAGGAAGAAGACGAACGTCGCGAAATGTTGACAATTCGTTTCATTTTCGCAAAAAAGGCTTCATTAAAATATGCAGACACATGCATAGCACACGGGATTGTTTGCTTGTTTTAAGTCCGCGATTGAGAAGGTTAAGTGAAATGTTAGAGTCTCGGAGCTCTTTTCGTCAATCTGTTGTGTCTCGCCAAAAACTATCACTGAACCTGGCACCACGATGCGTATGCCAACGATCCCAGTTAAAAGACAGTGGCAAACAGTGCAAGCCTTCACTGGTAATGTCAACCAGAACGCGGATTGAGAAAGGGAGAAACGTGCAGTATGTATGGGGTTGATCACACTCTGGTCATTTGTCTGGAATCGGGATTACGAGGGCGCCAAATAAAGAACGAATGATTGCGCATCCAGAAAACTCGAGATTTCCGTTCACATTTTGAGGTTTGCGTACGTTTCCTGGCCAAATGAATAGCTTCGAATTTGGCATTTTCTGTTAT